TAAGAAGTTACCAAACAGATCAAGCCAAGGTTCTTGCTTGTATCTGAGTATCCAACGTGGTTGGCCAATATTGTTCCAGTCCAAAAGAAGGATGGCAGAATCAGGGTCTGTGTCGACTTCAAGGATCTGAATAAGGCTAGTCTAGAGGATGACTTTCCGCTACTGCACATAGACGAGTTGGTAGACTTCACCGCTGGCCACGCACTATTATCATTCATGGATGGGTTTTCCGGGTATAACCAAATTCTGATGGCACCCGAGGATAGAGAGAAAACTGCATTCATAACACCATGGAGTACCTATTGCTACCGAGTTATGCCATTTGGGTTGAAGAATGCTGGGGCTACTTATCAAAAGGATGCAACCAACATTCTGCATGACATGATCCACAAAGAGGTTAAGGTGTATGTGGACGATATGATTGTCAAGTCCAAATATTGAGAGGGCCACTACACCACCTTGGAGAAATTCTTTCAACGGATTAGGGAATACATATTGAGGTTTAACCCGTAGAAATGTACTTTTGGGGTAACAGAAGGAAAAATGCTGGGATTCCTGATCCCAAAAAGAGGAATTGAGGTAGATCCTTCCAAAATCAAGGCCATCTTAGAAATGCCACCACTGAGGACTGAAAAGGATGTAATTCATAAGACAGTTTATTTCCAAATTAATCTTGACTTGTGAACCACTATTTGGTCTCCTAAAGAAGGGAAAGAAATTCCAATGGGATGATCGCTGTCAGTTTGCTTTTGAGCAGGTCAAGTAGTACATGCAGAATTTGCCTGTGTTGTCACCACCAGAACCAGGAAAACCGATGATTTTGTACCTTTCAGTGATGAAATCAACCATGGGGTGTATGTTTGCTTAGGAGTCGAAGGCCAAGGTGGAGAAAGTCGTTTATTACTTGAGCAAGAAAATGCTAGAGTACGAGACCCGCTACACTCCCCTCAAGAAAGCTTGCTAGCCTTGGTATGGGATACCTGGAAGTTGAGGCACTACCTGTTAGCTCGCTCGGTAATTCTAGATTCAAGATTAGATTCCATCAAATATCTTTTTTAGAAACCAGCACTTATGGGTAGGCTAGCCCGTTAGTTGCTTCTTCTCTCCGAATTTGATCTCAAACATGTTACACGCAAGTCAGTTAAAGGGAGAGCTGCAACAGAATTCCTGGCAGATCACCCAGTAGAGGGGGATGAAGCGGTGGAGTAATTTTTTCCAGATGAAGATATTCTGCAAATAGAGGAGAAAACGTGGATGATGTACTTTGACGGAGTAGCCAATGAATACAATTATGGAATCGGTGTGTTGCTAATAGCACCCGATGACTCCCATATACCTTTAGCCTTCAAACTCCGGTTCAAAGTATCTAACAACGAAGCAGAGAATGAGGCATGTATTGCTAGTTTAGAAGTCGCGCTAGAACTAGAGGCAAAAAGGTTAGACATCATCAGGGATTCGAACTTAGTTGTGTCTTAAGCCAACGGAGATTCGCGGGTTAAAGAGGAGAAAATGAAGATTTACTATCAGGCCTTGGATATGTTAATTCCAAGGTTTGAAAAGCTAATGTTCACCCACCTGCTAAGGGAGAGCAGTCGATTCGCTGACACACTAGCAACTCTATCTTCTATGGTAGACATTCCATTGGGAGTCAGGATGCGTCCAATCATTATTGAACAGAAGTACATGCCGGCCTATGAAACCATTGTCGCGATAGATGTGGCTTCAAATAAAAACTCCTGGTATTACGATATTTGGAATTTCTTGGAGAAAGAGGTGCATCCACCAGGAGCAACTGCCAAGGACAAAAGGAGAATACGGCGTCTCGTCATCCAATTTATCATCTGCGGGGGCAAGTTATACAAAAAAGGTCATTTGGGAATGCATAAACTATACATTGAGGAGGAGGAATCAAAGCGCCTTATGTAGGCCATTCACGGAGGAAAGTGCAGAGCCCACATGAACGGCGTGATGCTCGCCCGAAAAATCCTTAGACAAGGCTACTACTAGTCAACCATGGAAGAGGATTGTATTGGTTTTGTTCGATGCTTCCATAAATGCCAAATTCATGCTAATCGCATGAACATACTATCGTCAAAGCTCTACAACATGACTTCACCATGGCCATTCTCTGTTTGGAGGAGATATGTTATCGGTGCAATCACGCCAAAGGGAACAAATGGGCATGAGTTCATTCTGGTAGTAATCGACTACTTCACAAAATGGGTGGAGGCCCAGTCTTACTATGTATTGAAACCATCGCATGTGGCTAAGTTCATTAAAAACAACATCATTTGCCAATATGGGGTTCCGAATAAGATTATCTTCGATAATGGGTCGCACTTCAAGAAAGAAGTGATAGACTTGCTTGAAAAATATAACGTGGTTTTCCATGAGTCATCAACCTACAGGCCACAAACCAATGGAGCTGTCAAGACTGCGAACAAAAATATCAAGAGAATTATGCAAAAGATGGTGGAAACTTACAGGGACTGGCTAGATAAATTGCCATTTGCGCTCTGGAGCAACAGAACCTTAATCCAAACATTTACGGGGCTAACCCCCTATTCTCTCATTTATGGGATGGAGACTGTTTTGCCGATCAAAATTGAAGTGTCGTCGCTACGAGTTATGGCTGAGTGTCAGATAGCAGAGGCAAACTGGCAACGGAGTAGGTTCAAGGAGTTAATGTTGTTTGAATGAGAGAAGACTAAGGGCATTGTATCATGTCCAGGGCTACCAACGCAGAATTGCCAAGGCTTTTAACAAGAAAGTTAAGTCTAGAAATCTTAAGGAAGGGGACATCCATGACCCTAGGGGCAAGTTCAAACCCAATTGGATTGGTCTTTATATCATCAGGTCAATCTAGTCAGGAGGGACAATTATTCTTATGGACTTGGATGGCCTGGAGTTCTCACAACCGATCAATATGGACAAGTTGAAAAAACATTACCCCTGAGAGGCTCGCTAGGCTGAAACCCCGAAAGGGTGACCTCAGGCAAAAGTTAGAGCATGAAAAATTAGAAACAAAGAAAAACTAAGCTCGCAAGGCTGAAAACCCTAAAGGGCAACTTTGGCAAAAGTTAGAGCGCAAAAGAGAGAGTTAATACTCGAGTGAACCTTAGCCGAACTACATAAGGCCCGATTCCCATTTTTGGCACACGTAGGCAACTTCACCCTAAAGTTCGGCCGTAACTATCTCCAACTCAAATGTCCATTTTCTTGATCAGGTCATCTTTATTCGTTATCTATTAGTTCAGTTGTGATCTTCATTTTGGGAAGAAAAGTTGGTTACAATACAGAGCAGCAGTGATATGCAATCAGGGGCAGTTATGATCTTCTGATTCGGGATTGTACACCTTGAGAATTGATTCTATGTGTGTCAGGTGGTGATCATTTCCGAAAATTGTTTTGAAAAGTTTTAATAAAAGTTGGTTTTATTTAAAATTTACCTTTTACAACTCGGATCATTTTTAGACCAAAAGGAAAATTGTCAGTACTTGTAACTTTAATTTTATTGATTTCAACGCAAGTACATTCTCCCTCTTTGATTTAGATCAAAATTGCTTTTACATCTTAAAACTTGAAAAGAAAATATCAAAGCAGTAAAACTAGGGGCACAGCTAAGTCAGGCAGCTCTATGTCTTCTGCTCTCCTTCATAGAGGATTCTGCTGCCAAAGAAGGCCCAACCATTGCCTCCTTTTCGAGCCAAGCTAAACACTTCTCAGATAGGGTGTAACTGAAACTAATAGCAGGGGCCAGAATCTCTCTCATCCTCCAGGTCGCGAGATACTGGGGCAGGTGCAAGACATGAATCGAAAATGAAGCTGTGTACTCCACTCCCTCATCTGGATGTGTCTGATCATGCCCGAACTGGCGTCTAAACCACAGAGGGAAATAGAATACGCAATGTGTGAGGCCAATCAACTCTACACCCGACTATCGGGACATGTTGTAGCTTATTTCATCCAAATTAAGCCAGGGGCAACGCCAAGTTATGTCAGTTGTTCATCTAGTCACACCACAACCCTTCTGAAGGGAAATCCACTAGCCATTTTCCAAAAGAAGTAAGCTCTGGCCGAGTATTCTGGGCAAGGGCTCACTACTTGCAGTTTATCCGCAAGCCATACCTGGGAAGGGATGAAAAATAAGAGAGATTGAAGAATAGAGAAATGTACGATAAGGGAAAAGTAAGGAAGAGGTTTTGAGAGAAAAACAGAGAGTGAATGTTGAGTGATGTGAGAATCATAAATTAAAAGGTTGGAAAATAATTCCTGGAGAAGTAATGGATTCGCTGCAAAGTGGGTAGCCTCTCGCCGATGAAAGGCATTCAAACCCATCAAGGTTTCAACCAGGGCCAAGCCCATGCAACTCTTACCCTCTTTCAGACATTGGGCCACTTCAATTAACCAGATGTCAGCTCCACTGAAACTAGGGGCAAGTAGGAATTGTACAAGTAGACATAAATAGAGAGCATGTTGTTTATGGACTCGCCAGAGAAGGTTACTCCTATCTCTAATAGAAAAAAATTGATGAACTAAACTAGGGATGTCTAGCTCCCCATCATGTGCCAACGATCGAGCCTCGTGTAACGTTAGCCCACACATCCATCCCAAAGCTTGGGCATGGCCAAAACGGAGTTGCAGCATGATTTTTTCATCATCCCGGGATTTCGTCAATGCTCGAAATTCCTCGAGTGTCGAACACACCTCTTGTGAAAGTGAAATGCATGTGTGATTGGATTCCAACATCGAACTGAGGCATGAAGAAAGGGAAGTGCAGCTCAGAGGAAAAGGGGCGTTTAGGCCGAAATCGCAAAAGTTCACCTTTTCCGAGCCGTCCAAAGTGGCTACCCAGTCTCGGAGCCTATTGTTGAACAGTGTCTCCATCTTGAGAGCAAAATAGCAAAGACTTGCTATTCTGCTAGAAAAATAGCATAGGAGCACCATTTATAGAGGTTGAGAAGGAGCAGTATGTAATAGCTGGATAGCATTGACCGACCTCATGTTTAGGCCCAGTCGTGCCTCCAGATCAGTGCAATTTCAAAAAAGTTGGTCTTTGTCTTGGCATACCGCAGTTGTGTTTTAAGTCCTTTTTGTTTGTACCAGATGTTTTTTAGTATTTTTGAGTTGTTTTCATTCTGTTATCAAGTTGTATTTTACGTTTTGTCCGGTTGTGGGTTGTTATCCGATTCAAGAATGAATACAAGGGTAAATATTCATTGATTTAAGTCTTATGCGAAGTTACCATGCAAAGGTTACGCCATTCATTACATGCCATTCATCACATATTATGCAAGGAGATTAGTCAAAAAAATTTCTTTTACAAACTAACAGGTCTAACCCCGATCATTGTTTTGCAAAGCAACAAAACAAAAGAAAATTCTTCAACAACAAAAGGGTCTATCTGAAGCTAGTCTTTAACTACAAAGCAAAAACAAAAACAAGAAATCATCATCATCATCAGCAACCCATCCTCGCTCTCTTCCTCCTCGGCTGTGGAGGAGGTGCGTCGTTGTCATCACTGGAGCTACTAGACTGCATGTCAATCGCCTCGCCCTCATCCTCAGAAGTCGTGTACTCCTCAAAGGACTCCTCGGGAGGTGAGTGATGCCTCACTCTGCCTCTCCCCTGGTCAGCTCCTCCTCTGCCCCTCACTGGGCCCCGTCTTCGTCTCCTAGTAGGAGGAGGTCCTATAGGTGCAACTAGTGCCGGCTCAAGTTACAGAACAGAAAAAAAAAAAAAAAAAAAAAAAAAAAAAAAAAAAGAGAGAGAAAGAGAGTACGGATATTAGAAGAGGCCAATAAAGTTATGAGTAAGACTGTAATGACTGTAAACTGGGGGCAAAGCATACCTCAATCCTGTAAATGGCCAGAGCTGTCTGCCTCCTCCGCACCATGAGGAGCAATTGGTCAATCGTCTAGAGAAGGTCATCAGCATATGTCGTGGGTACTTGCAAAACAATGGAGAGTTTAACACAGTGGAACAAAGCAACAGAGTACAATGAAGACGTAGAGTAGGGTAGTGGCTAGAAATATAAAGAAATGTGTACCTGCTCAATGCCGAGAGCAATCACCAATCTGCGATCCCTCTCCTCAATTTGTTCAAGAGGGATCTGCTCAATCTCCCTGTCTGGCTGCATGTATACGACCTTCGTAGGAATCACCGGAAGCCCAAGAATGGGAGCTATAGTAGGAACTCCTCTGGCGACAGTAGCAGCAGTAGCAATCTCTGGAATAGCGTGGACCATACCCAGGATAAGAGGTGTCATACCCAAGTCTACGAGAAAGTGGTGAAGTCGTTGGGCTCATGATGTCAGTCACCATCCTCTCTCAACATCAGGAAGTCAATCTGATGACCATCGTGAAGCTCATCAACTCCCTTCATGCCTAAAGGAGGAGGATGTAGAATGTCAGGCTCAACAACGCCTCACATCTGCCAGATGAACCTCTCTCCCAAGTAATATGCCCTACCAAAGGGACCCTCGAACAAAATCATCATAGTAGAGGCATGCCATGCGGTAACATAGGTTGCCCTCATTGCCTGAGGGATACTCGCCCAAGGGTGCCAGTCAACCTATGGAAGTAGATGTCAGATGCTAAAGACCTAAGCAGTATAGAAACAATACAGCATGGAAACAGTGTCATATGGAATCAATAGTATGGAAATGACAATATGGAGACAGCAGTATGTAAAAGTTAAAGACTAGTATTTTGTTACCTAATCCGCCGTGTCGAAGAAACGGCGAAAGTAAGGGAAGTCTCGGTCTACGTGGCGGTATCGCTCAAATCGGGAGTTATAGTACCAGGAGCGGGGTACTGACAACTCAATCGGCCTCACTGGAACCGAAGCCAGAGAGGTGAAATATGTGTAAACACATAGCTACAAACAAAAAGACATGGATAGAGTAGATAAGTAGTTATGAACATAACAAATAAATAGATGCAAACAAGGGATGTAACGCAAAAATGAGCAGGAAATGCAAAACTGAACAAAATGTAAAGCTAAATAGAAAAAGTAAATATGAGGTGTACCTCCCGCACCATCTAATAGCAACCAAGTGAATCTGCCTTGCGGCGGGATGTGAAGCTTATGTAGCAGTACGAGATAGCCAAGCCGATGCCACCCCAGTCATACTCTATCACCTGTAGTAGGTGCACCAGTGCCCCCAGAAGATATAATCCCACGATGTTTTCTTTGTTGGAAAACAGGGTAGTGCCAAGGAGATACATAAAGAAGCCACAGGTGTACTAGGCGACGTCATCTGGAGTAGCTGGCCGAAGGTCAGTGAAGCGCTCCAAAAACCAACTGTACCTCACCATCCCGTGGTTGGTAGTGTCTGGGATGGCTCCGAGAAGCTAATGTTGTATGGCTCTCCACTATGTCATATCAAGATCACATGGGATGGGGCCGCTAACCCCAACCCGTAGGCCAGTGAGCATCGCGAAATCGTATGGGGTCAGAGTTAGCTCCCCAATCGATGAGAAGTGGAACGAGTCCATAGTGTCCCACTATCTCTCTAGTAGGGCCCCGTATAATAGCGACTCAGCCCTCATCTATATGAGCCCTAAACAGAAGGGCCCAAAGCCGGCAACATCAACTAGTGTACGGACCTCTGTGGGGAAGCCTCTCATACCAGTGCCGGGGACCTGATATGGATCCATAGCCGCCAACCCTCCTAGCTAGCACTTGTAAATTGGGAGTATTATCAATATGTAAATAGCACTAACGAGTGGTTTGTTTATGAGATTCAACATATGTACAAGACGAAGGAAAAGTTACTTATCGTGGAGACATCGGCGGACAAGTGCTGCACGGGCTCTCGCAGTAGGATGTCCTCATCTATCCCTGGGATGAGGCCCTCAAATCTCAAAATACCGCCTGCGGATGGAGCAATTGTACGTGGTCAGTAAGTGGCCGCATCAAATGGCCTATCAATGAGCGGAGGCAACGTGGGAACGTCCTCGGCCTCTATATCTACACCTAAGATAGTGCCAATACTAATGGCAGGGTCCGGGATGGGAACCTCATCACTAGCCATAGAGAGAAAGTGAAAAAGGAGAAGAAAAAGTGAAGGGATGAGTGAAAATTGGTGAAAATCTCAAAATTCAAACCCTATGAGAGAGAAAGTAAAGAGGTTATGGAAAGTCAAAGGGGGAAAAAAGGAAAGTGTGGCCAAATGTGAGGGAAAACAAGAGAAACCCCAAAACTCCACCAAATTGATTTTTGTTAGGTTCAAAGTGTAAAGGAGGGAAAGGGTTTCAAGGGAAAAAATTGCAAGGGTTGTTGGGTAACTCAAGGGGGTGGAAATCTAGAGAGAAGAGAAGCCTAGACAGAGAAGGGGAGGAGTTTTGACCTTGGATGTGTGCAAAATGGAGGTTGGAATATGTTTAAAACAACCGTGTCACGCAGCTTTCCCGATTCTGCCCTTGCCGCTATCGAAGCTAGGCCGTACTTCATCGAGGCCTGGCCAGCTTTTAGTGTGAATTTAGTTAGTCTTTTTATTTACTTCTTTGTTTTTCCCTTGTATCATGGAGTTTTAATCTAAAAAAATAAACAAAAGCAAATAGAAAAATAGTGAAGAAGATAAGTGAAAAAGAGAGGAAAAAAAGAAAGAAGTGAAGAAGAAAAGAAAGAAAACAAAGAGATAAAAAAAAAGTGAGTGAAAAAGAAAATATAAAAAGAGAAGGAAGGGAATAGAAACCAAAATATAAAAGGAAGGAAAGGGAAAATGGAGGAATTTTGTTCATTATGTTTTGTTCTATTGCATGACTTCATGATTTGTTGCTTTCATTCGTTTCGTTATTTCGTAACACATGATATTGTGTGCATGGTTCATTCAGAGGAGTTCCAGATAAATTCATTCGTATCACAGTAAAATCATCATCCATTTTACCATCAAATTGGAATGCGGTGTGTTCAAATTAAAGCCCATTGTTTTAACACATTGGCAAATTGCCTTTCACCTTATTACGTTGTTTTGGTCATTTTGATTTTACGTCTCTTGGTGTAGAATTCGTGTTCACTTCTTTGTCATTTCACTAATTCGCATTTATGCGTTGTGTCATGGCTTGAGTTATCTTCGTGGGCCTTATGGCTTCATTTCCAAGGCCTTCCCGAGAATGAAATAATTTTGCTTCAAAGTTTGCCTGCTTCTGAATTTGGCTGCTTATGCATTATTCCGATGTCCTCCTCTCGTGTGCGACGTGTGAGGATTGTTTACCTCGGTTAAAAACAACAGGCGTGTCCCAGTGTTCACACCACCTCTCCTCCTCTTGCGTGCAATGCATGAGGATTGTTTGCTTCAATTAAAAACAACAGGTGTGTCCCGGTGTTCACACCACCTCTCCTCCTCTTGCGTACGATGCGTGAGGATTGTATATCCTCGGTTAAAACCAGCGGGTGTGTCCCGATGTTCACATCACATTTCCTCCTCTCGCGTGCGACACGTGAGGATTGTTTACCCTCAATTAAAAACAACAGATGCGCCTGTTTGTTCACACCACCTTTCCTCCTCTCCTGTGCAACGCATGAGGAATGTTTACCCTGGTTAAAAACAATAGGAGCGCCTGTTTGTTCACACCACCTTTACTCCTCTCGCATGTGATGCGTGAGGATTGTTTATCTCGATTAAAAACATCAGGTGTGCCCGGTTTTCACACCGTCCTCCTCCTCTCGTGTGAGATGCGTTAGGATTGTCCAAATCAGTTAAAAACAATAAGTGCGCCTGTTTCTTCACACCACCTCTCCTCCTATCGCGTGAGACGCGTTAGGATTGTTTGCTTTGGTTGAAAATATCAAGTGCGCCTATTTGTACACACCACCCTTCATCCTCTCACGTGAGATACGTTAGGATCTCGATTGAAAACCTTGGGTGCGCTCGATGGTTACGTCGCCCTTCACCCTTCCTACACGAGGCATAGTTAGGTCTACATTTTCTTACATCCTTTCTACGTGAGACGTAGTTTAGTTTGTGCTTTCTTTGTCCTTTCTACGTGAGATGTGTCAGTTTATGCACTTCTTTCTGTGTGAGACACAGCGGGGTTTATTTTGCTATGGTTTACATTTTCATTCAAACATTGCATTCTTGTTTAGATTGTAGCGTTGTTTCATTGCTTCATTGACATTCGAATGTTTCATTGCATTGTTTCATTGCATGATCATAAGTTATTTGCTACATTTTATTTTTGCGCTTTGCCCTCGAGTTCAATCTTTGCATTTATGTCTTGATTTCTTGCCCAAGCCTTGCGGCCCTGTCAAAATGGGTCGTCTCTGGGCATTGACATTTACTCACGTCACTTTATGACTTCGAGTTCTATCAACGCGGGGCAACTATAGACACCCCATTTTTTACTGCCCACAAGGCTCGAGCACTTTGCCCAGTACGCTCGATGATAAAAGTAGTGTTGTACGTGGTTCGAGGTCTCAACGAAAGGGCTATGTTTACGCTCTGAAATAATCCCAAACCTTCCATATTCCCACTATTTGTACCTCAGAAATCCATTTTTACACATTATGTCACCCTGTGTTTAGTCTGAAGCAGATGAATTGTGCAGAAAAGTATCTTCCAACATGTTCGGGGGACCGTCTTCTAGAAACTGCTCTGTGCGTCGCCCATATTGTATGCCCAAATACTTTTCCTACACATTGTGCGGCTAACAAGAAAGGTGTGGCCAGTGTGTTTCCAAAATATTCTCTTCCTTTCCATGCATTTCTACTTTGTTCTTGTTCATTTTCTACAAAATACATGATTTTAATGGAACTAGGAGCTTGAAAAATGTAGAATGTTTGGAATCAACATCTCTAAAATCATTTTGGCTAAAATAGGTGTAGGGTAGGGATCCACCCTTATCCATGGCTCATATTGAAGGCATTGAAGCCACACATCTTGGTTTTCATCATCAAGGAGCTTTAAGGAAGTGTCCAAGTCTGAGGGGCAATCAAAATGGGTTGTCTATACTATGATGATAAATTCTACAACAATGCCATTCTCCACCAATGGCCAACAATGAATCTCTACCGATATCCAATTTCATATTACTCATGCAATTGATCCCAATTTCAAAATAAATAAAAAAAAAATCTACTCAGTTTATGTAATTTCACAAATTAGGGTTTTCATAAACAAAAATTGAGGTTTTTCTCAAATTAAAACACCCATATGCTCTTTGATATATAGAAAACAAGTTCAATAAGAAACTAATAGAAAAATATCCAATCGTTTCCAAACCCTAATTTCTAACATGCAATTTCAGAAAGAAAGAAAGAAAGAAAGAAAAATCGTTACCAATCACCCAATGGAGTATATCAAAATTATCACATACACTCATAGAAATCCATTTTAAATAAATAGAAGGAAACCCTACCTCTTGAAGAGAAGAGAAGAAGAGAAGCACAATTTCTTAAAAATGTCTGAATCGGATTTTGCTTTGGATGATCTCGAAGCCTTTGTCAAGCTTTACAATGTTAATACTCCGAATTTTGATTGAATCTAACTCCAAGACAACAAATATAAAGGATTTGTGTATGGGTTTGGTAGGAAGAATACAGAAGAAGGGAAATGATATATATCTATATATATATATATATAGAGAGAGAGAGAGAGATAAAATGTGTTTAAAATGAAAGGGGAGAGAAAATATCTCAACTTAATGCAAAATATATATATATATATATGTGGTCCAAAAATTTGGTTGTGAGGCAGCCACGTTGCTCAAATTTTGGTCCGTGCAATCTGCTCGTGCAAAAATTTTGGGCTGCTCATGTGGATTTTCTCACTGAATTTCTTTCGCTAGCTTACATAACCACTCGTGTAGAACAAATATTTCTCACATGTAGATTGACCCAAACAACTTTACAAGGTAAACTTCAAATAGACATATCTCCTTCTTCTGGAGTTAAAATTTGATCAATTTTATGACTAAATTAAAGTCTCAGAAGTAAGTTTTCCAACAGTTTTAGCCTCACATCAATATTCAAAGTGTGGAGAGACATTTGAATTTGGGATTTTTTGTCCAATCTTGCCCAATCATCTTGTTAACAGATCAATTAAGTCTCTAAACATCTAGAAGGACGTCCCAATTATAAAAACTAAAATGTCAAATGCATACCCATCATTTCCGAAAGACTGAAAATAATACAAAATACAAGGCAATGGTTCCAATCAACATAAACAATTTGGGTTTAAGATTCGAACCAGGTCCAGCTTTGACATTTTGGAGGCCCAAAATGAACTCTTGATATGGGGCCCCCTCATGCATTTAAAAAATAATAATTATGATCAAAAGATCATGTATTTAAATTTTGATCATATATATAATTATTAAAATTTATTTAAATATATAACAAACTTTGCAATAAATGAAAAAATTAAAATAATTCAAGCTGAAGTACTAAATAAAAAGTGAACAAACTGTACACTTAAATCACCTTTCTCATATTTTTAACTACAAAAATGCTTATTTAATTTGCATAATTCAACTTATTAACTAAATCATTTTTGATGGATTAAATTGTTAATACATTCAATCTTTCTTGTGACATAGTAACCAAAGATAAAATTTAATCAATTTTAAATTTGAAAAGTTTCTTATCAATTTTAAATTTGAAAAGTTTATTTCTCTAAAAACAACTGTAACTAGTATAATTAATCGTATTCTACATGCAATTTATTCATTTGAGAAATAACCATCCATTAATTTAAAATAATTCACCATATCAATCGATTTTTTAGTTTTTACCAATAAAAACAATCATCCATTGGTTTTAAATAATTCACCACAACAATCAACTATTAGTTTTGAATTTTCACCAAACTTTGTCAAGGCTTTTCAAATTCAAGTGGATTTTTTTGTGGGCTAATATAATAGCCAAAAAAAATTTGAGGCCTTTATATTTCACTCAATTTTTTGGGGCCCAAAATGGCGGCTTTGCCGAATTGGGTCAAAGAGATGTAACCCTGCCAAATTTTTTTAGGGTCAAAGGGCTATTCTATTATAAAATAAGTTATGAACTCAGATATGATGCTACTTGTCAAGACCCGAACCCGCCCCTATAGGTTCAGCGTCATGATCGGCCAGTAATCATAGATTACCTACGACCTCCATACAAATAAACATTTAAAAGTAAAATACGAGGCCTAGCAAAAGTCTAAAATATTATAGAATTATTCCATTGAGTTGTGCATATATGAGGAGAGCAAATATATTAAGCAAGGTATTGTTTCAAAAATTACCTCCAACATAAGTACAAGCCATGGAACATAAGTACAATTCATGTCTTACAAAATACAACCCCAATTATGAACAAATACAAAATCATTAAACCACACAAAAGGGGTTTGACAAGTATGGCTCCACCCAAGCCTAATTACATCACTTGGAAGCTTCACAAAAGGCTGACTTGGTAAACTCGACGCTATCTAACTCTGATGTTCAGTTTGCCCACCTACAAATACATATATAAATGAATAGTGAGCTAGAGCCCAATGAGTAATAACAAAATAAAAGCTTAAATGAATGAAGTTCATCAATAGTATAAAAACATGTCTTACAGTTCCGAAATGAATCTTA